AAGTAATGATGATGAATGTGTCAGAGAAAAACTGCATTAACATTTTAATAATCTATTGATAAACTAGTGTTTTCCGTGTTTTTTCGGCTTAAGAGATGAAGTCGGCGACACTGATTCATGCAATGCATACCTGCATACAAGTTTCATATGGATTACATAATCTGAGAATATTTGTTTTTCAGATTTGAATTGTTTCATTTGAAAGTAGACATTTCACTCTGTATAGATATAATTTTCATGTCTGTAAGGCAAGTATACACAGAGTTTCGTGCTCAAGTTCACAGAGACCGAGACGGCAGAAAGCGCATCCTGTTTGCTTTCATTATTTTACAAAAGCACAATGTTTTGTTGTTATAGTGAGTGCACACAAATAAACGTAGAGGCTTTACAGATTCGAAAGATGTATTGCTCTTATCTGAATGACCAAAAATTGAGTATCTTAAGAGCAAGTGAGCGCACCGGCGCCTCCATCTGTCATGCTGTAAGCGCGCGTTAACATTAGATTGAGCGGCCATGTAAAGTTGCTACTACTTACATATTTCAGATGATAAGCCATATTTGAGGTCGATGAATGATAGGCGAATGCTTGGATGTACTGTATTACCACAAAATCCAGCCGTTAACGATCTGTCCGGGACCTCACCACTTTTTTTTCTGCGACTAAGCAACTAATAAAATTTTGGTCGACCAAGCCTCTTCTCGTTGACTAAAGGTTAGTCGACTATTAGGGGGCAGCCCTAGTAAATTCATTCTCAAATGGAGATAGAATTTTTTAAAGGGGTTTCATGTTACTGAAGAAAATCACTTGTAATAAAAAATTTATGCAAAGATAGAAGTGGTCACTACTGGTCACAGAGGTTTGGGTGTTTTGTTCAATTGAGATGTTCGTATGGAAAATCACATCATCTCAGCTGGTTTATTGTGTCTGGAATAATTGCTTGATTGATCAATAGCAGTGTTCAAAGGTCACGAGGGCTACGTCTGATTACCATAATGGCCAGAAGGTGCTGCTGGCTGCAACAACACTCTCATATTGCTCCTATTATATTATAATCATATTGTTCGCCGATATTGCAGCAAACATCTCCGCTGGACACTGCAGTATGCATGGAGACGACTCGTTAAGAGGTCAGAGTTTCTAACTTGACTTCCTGACAGATGCCTGAACTGACAGCTCATTGTGTCAGATGAGGCGGGCGCTCAATGCAACTTCCACTAATAGGATTTAAGCAGCCCAGCTGTCAGCCAATCAAACACAGAACTACACACTATGCATCGCACTGACTTGGTATATTATAAACGTGCCTCCACAGTATGCCACATTTCTGCCTTTGGGTTTGTCTTATTTTTTTGGCAGATATTGCAGCCTAACTCGGCTGAAATGACGGTGCCTGACTGAACACAGTGAATACGGTAAATGGATCAAAACAGCTTATCATCTCACCTGCAGCAGCTGTTGTTTGAGCTTCTGGATCTCTGAGATGTTGAGCTCATTCAGCAGATTGTCCACCAGGCTGGAGGAAGGGTGGAACCGCTCTCCTTTTTTGGGCGTGGAAACACGGTTGTCGTTGTTGTCGATCTTGTCAAAGCCATTCTCATAGATGTGGAGGGGTTCGTCGTTGTTGGGCTCAATTGAGGTGTCGTCGCTGAACTTCAGTCCATCGAGGGAGATGCTCAAAGGACTGTGGTACATCGAGTCTCCGATGGTCATGTACTGCGACAACTCCTTTCTTAAGGCGGCCTGGATTAATGGAGCCCAACAAATATCATTAAATCAGACCTCAGGGTGGACTGGCAGACGCCTACAGCAGGCTTTATCTGATAAAAACCCTTTCAGAAGAAACTGCTAAACTCCCTGCCATAGTACTCGGGTGCTGTGGGTGGTTGCCATGGCCTTGATATTTGGTTTCTAGGGTGTTCTGAGTGGGTTTTAGTGTGTTACTAAGCAACTACAGAGGAGTTCTTGGTGGTTTCAACCACCCTCAAGTCAAGTCCTTCAATGTAAATCTATAGGTTTTTCTTGTGTTAACCAAAAACGTCCAATAACAGAAAAGTAAATGGCACACATAAGTTGCTCGTAGATGGAAATGTGCAATGTTTGCATTCAAATGATTAGAAATGTGCCTAACAATGCAAAACATTTAGATAGTGAGATCCCAAGGGATTTTTTTTTCTGATTCCACTTAATGATTCCAGTTCCTTTGAGACTGCATTCATGAAAGCACCCCACCCCCACAATAATAGGGCCCATACTACAATCATTTCACATCGTCAAGTCCATTTTATTTATATAGCGGTTTACACAGTGTACATTGACAGTTATAAGAGTTTAGTACAAAATGTATGTTTAATATTGTTTAAAAAACTAAGTATTATGTATATAATATTAAGACTTCATATTTCATAGTATTATCAATTTGACTGCACTGACACTATTGGACAAGAACAAAACTGAACTGAACTGAATAATGACACTATTGCTTTCAGTATAGCTGCTGATTGCTGAATTGAACTTGTTTTAAAAATTGATGAACTTTACAGTTATTGAACTGAACTGAATCAACACTGAACTGACTTGAGCTAAAATAATGACACTATAGTCTTTTAAGAGCTGCTTTACAGCATTATTTTGATTTGCCTCGTATTTGAGGTAAAATATAAAGTTTGCATCATTAATTGTTACTTTTCCTGTTTATTACAGTGAAGCTTCTTTGAAACAATCTCTATTGTATAAAGTGATATATAAATAAAGGTGGCTTGACTAGTGATGCAGCAAAATTAAGTTTTTTACCAAAACACAAACATTTAAGCTGCACACAAGGCAATAACTTTTTAATAATATAACTAGGTTTCTACAGATTTAATCAAACATATATTAAATAATGAAGACAACAGGTTAACCGCAAATATAATGAATGTGTAATATACTGCATACATTTTGAAAAAAGTTCCTATCTGGGCTTTTTTTTTGTAGTTGATTAATGAGTTTATAGTTTATAGTGAACCGCTTTCCTGAGGTAAAAGTAACAATATGTGACAAACTATTTATAACTCCCTCCAACACTGACAAGTCTCACCAGCCTATGAATACTTTTGACTGATTCGGTAAAAAATACCAGCTCATGAGACTCAGTCACCTGTCAGTTAGACTACACTGGCAGGCTCTATGTTTGTTGGTGAAAAGACAATGTAAGAAAGACAAAATTTCGTCCTCCAGTATTCAATCGTTTCCAGTATTTATTTATTTTAATGGAACATGTTCTCGATTTTCAGCTTAACCTTAATATAATATCTATAATAATAATAATAATATCTAGCTGTAAATAATAATAATAATAACATAAAAAAGAAAGAAAATCATCTCTTGCCTTCTGCTCCCTCTCAGTCTTGATGGTTTCAAGCGCCTCCCCGAGCTGCCTCTCAGCGATCTCCTTCAGACGGATGGCGTCTTCCAACTGGCTGTTCAGAAACTGGGTATCTTCCTCCAGACGACGAATTTCATGTTTCAGACCCTCAAACTCAACCTACAAGATATCACACACACACACACACACCAGCTAACTGTGACTAATGCCACATTTCCACTGTCTCTAGCAGAAACTCCACTGATGGAACTGATATTTAACACAGATGGCTGAAGCAGCTGAATGTCACCTGGCTCTGTTTTAAGACAGAAACATGCTTCTGCAGGGTGATGTTCTCCTCCTCGAGTTCGCTGTAGTCCTGCAGCAGACGAGCCTCTCTGAACTTGAACTCCTTGATATCGTCACGCATGCGAGACCTCTGCAGCTCCACCATCTGACTGCTCTGTAAGACAGCAGAAGCAGCTGCTCAGAAATACAGTACAGCAGTATTGTGAAATATTATACAAATTTAAAACAGCTATTTTCTGTGTGAATATATTGTAAAATGTCATTTATTTCTGTGATCAAAGCTGTATTTTCAGCATCATTACTCCAGTCTTCAGTGTCACATGATCTTCAGAAATCATTCTAATATGCTGATTTGCTGCTCAAGAAACATTTCTGATTATTATCAATGTTGGAAACAGTTGTGCTGCACAATATTTTTGTGGAAACTGTGATACATTTGTTTTCAGGATTCTTTGGTGAATAGAAAGAACAGCAAATATGTGACCCTGGAGCACAAAAGCAGTCTTAAGTCGCTGGGGTATATTTGTAGCAATAGCCAAAAATACATTGTATGGGTCAAAATTATACATTTTTCTTTTATGCCAAAAATCATTAGGATATGAGGTAAATATCATGTTCCATGAAGATATTTTGTACATTTCCTACCATAAATATACCAAAACTTAATTTTTGATTAGTAATATGCATTGCTAAGAACTTCATTTGGTTTTGTCTCGGCCAAATATTGTTCCATCCTAACAAAACATACATCAATGGAAAGCTTAGCAGATTTATTCAGATGATGTATAAATCTCAAATTCAAAAAATGGACCCTTATGACTGGTTTTGTGGTCCAGGGTCACATATTTGAACTAGCAATTTCTGTAACATTAAAAATGTCTTTACGTTCCCTTTTGATCCATTTAATTTGTCTTTGCTCTGACCCCAGCCTTTGAATCAACCCTCTGCTCACAGGGTTGTGAATGGTTGGATGTCTCGCTCTAATCAACCACACTTTTATCCTTTGACCTGCTTGAATCTGTTTATCAGTCCATCTGTACGCCTCCGTCTCTATCTCTCCGTCTTTGCCCCATCTGCTGATCCACACGCAAAAACTAATTTCACTTCATTAATCCCTTCCAGAGGACTGTGCCATTAAACACAGTCTCTTTCTTTTTCCAAATCCTCACTCACCTCACACCATCTGTCGGTTTATATTCTTAATTTCCTTTTAATCCTATATTTGCATCCTTGTTGGTGAATTAGACATTACTGGTCACTAGGGATGTAACGATTCACGATTGAAAATCGATACAAATATAACGATTCACTCAACTCACGATTCGATTCACTGTTTTGATTTCACGATTCGATTTTCTCACGATTTTTTTAACAAAATTAGACTGAAGATATTATACAGTAAATGAAAAGGTGTCGTTTTATTAAGCTATTGCTGCATGTTTCTTTGTGTTACACAAGTTACACAAATAAAATAAATCTCTTAATATGAACAAACTAAGGCTTTGTCTGTGCTCTTTCCATTTAAAATTAGAGGCAACCACTGCATTTTAATCATGATCCAAACAAAGATGCAGCATACATACAGCATGAGTAGTTTTTAATCTAATTTAGACTGTATAATTTCGAAATTTGAAGCAAAAAACAGAATGGTCTGACTTTAGTGTTGTGAAACTATAAATAAAACATATCTGAATGAAACAGCAGACGCGCTGAATGAGACGCAGATTCACTCTCTGCCAGCAGGTGGCGCTTATGAACAGCAATGATACAGTGTTTCCTTGGTTACCGCTGTAAACAAAGCAGCGCTATGCTTATGAACAGCAATGATACAGTGTTTCCTGGGTTACCGCTGTAAACAAAGCAGCGCTGCGCTTATGAACTCTACTTTAATTTGCATCGTTCAGAGGCAAGATGAAAAGAAAATACCACATAAACTTTTCTAAAAATTAACTTTTCTAAACTTTTCAGTTCCCCTCAGAGATACATTCAAATAAACTCCTACTCCAATTGTATCGCGATTTGTTTGGCATCTCAACCAATTTGAATCGTCACATATTTGAATCTATTTTCAACCGGCTCGCGGTTCATCGTTACATCCCTAGACTTGTCAGTGGATTTTCGATTCAACGCGGTTAATCGTTACATCTCTAGTTGCGGGTAAGAGTTTATATGAATGCATCTCTGAGGGGAACTGACTGTCTATAGGAAAGTTTATATTTTCTTTTCATCTCGTCTCTGTATAATGCACATTAAAGTTGTGTTTTTTGTCTTATTTATTTTATTAGATTTGGGGTTTGTTTTAAAATTTTAATTTAGTTTAGTTATTTGACATTTCTGTTTCACAAAGAAATGTGCAGCATTTTGTCCAAGCAATGATAAAAGAACACCTTTTCATTTATAATTTGTCTTAAATCTAATTTAAAGGGGTCATATGATGTTGCTAAAAAGAACATTATTTTGTGTATTTGGTGTAATGAAATG